GCAAGCAAAAACTTTTTCTTCTATGGACAATTTTTCTTTCCTTTTTTTTTTTTTTTCTTTTTCTCATATAAACTACCACAAAAAACAAAGTATTGCATATATCCAGTTTTTTTTTTTTTTTTTTTTTTTTTTTTGTTTTTGGGGTTTTTTTTTTCTCATATAAACTACCACAAAACAGTATTGCATATATCCGTTTTTTTTTTTTTTTTTTTGGCCAGTAGCCAGGTTAAGTAATGATATGGATTGTTATAATAGTTGAGTGCAAGTCACTCTTGCACAGATTTGGAACAATCAAAGAAAAGGTTGATTTACTTCATAGCTGGAGGTTTTGGAAGACCTGTGCAAACACCATGTGTTAGAAACTGGAAAAGAGTCCAGTCATCAGTGGACCGAGGAAACAAACATGATTTTCATGTGCTGCTTCATCTTGGAGCAAAAGAAGTCATCACAAGGAAATGTTTATCTTTTATAGGTTTCAATAGTGCCACTTAACAGAGCTTGATTAATTAAATTTCCAGTTCCTTTATTACTGGCATCATAGGAAAATGTATTTTTTTTATTCATTATTATTTTAGTTACTGATTTTATTTAATTTTATTTATAACTTGCTCCTCAGACCAGCATCCCCATCTTGGTTGTTCTACTAATGACATCTCACCTGTTCTACCCCCCAGTCTTCTTCAGGTGTCTCCTGTACTTGGTTACCTTCTCAGAATTTTGAACTGAACTCATTATGCAATCCTTGGGGGTAAAGTTCTAATTCCACTTTCCATGCTGAGAGCATATTTTTGTTAATTCACCTTAGTGTTCTTTGTCCGTTTCTTCAACCAAATCAGATTATGACTTTTTCTGCACTGCCAAACAAAGATAAGAAATTGATTTGATTTTATCAGTTTCTTATTGCTTCAGTATTTATTCATATGATTCTAATGATGTTGCAAATAAACCTTGAAATATTAACCAATTGAGTAATCTTTTTTTTTATTGTCACAACTGCTTATGACTATTTGATTATTCTATAGGTATTTTTTTTTTTTTTTTGTTTTCTTTGAGCAAAAAATTTTATAAAATTTTCTATCTTTGGTAAATTTATAAAACCTTGTTTGTTGTCTGTCTATATATTTCTGTTTTTAACCTAGGAAATGTTATTCTTGAATATTTGAACTGAAATGAATCTATCTCTTGAAATGTCTGAATTTGAAATCAGGAATGTAGTCGGTTTTCATTTTCTCTTTCTTTCTCCCTCCACACAACCACCCAGACTTTGCGTCCAACCAACCAAACACTCTGATTGGTTGTCCTTTAAATTTCTGGTAAAAGTAAGTGCAACAGAAATCTTCATACTGAAGATAAGATTCATTTCATGAAATCTAATGTCCTTTGCTAAAAGCAAAGAACTAACAAAGCCAAAAAAAAACAAAACTTGCAACTAATATTACCCTCTAAACTTTTGAAATATTTGCCATGTTTATTTTTGTTGATAGGAAGCAGAAACATTTATGAAAGTTTCTGTAAACTGACAAAAATCTTTTGAAAAAATATCACAATCATTAGTTCTTTATAATTATACTGATAGCTAAATATTTAAATCTATGAGATTTTAGAAGTATTCAAATATAAAAAAAAATATGCTTAATATTTCCTTCCCAACAGACTTCAGAGTAAGATGTCTCACTGTAAGTACATGTCCCTTTTATGATTTGAACTTGTGACAGGGCTGCCCAATTGAGCTGCAAGCAATGAATTGGGAAGCTTTTGAAAGCTCCTCTGTGCCATGTCCCTTCAGGATGTGGGTGATCATGACTCTCCACAATTTTCTCTCCTTTGTAGCTCTTAGTAAATAGTCTTTTTACTATCTCAACTAAACTCTGTTCTGCCATCCATTTAAACACTTATTAGGCAGGTCACATGGTGCTCTTGTCTGTCCTACTTGCCTTCAATACATTTTGTGAGTATCAAATTTTCCAAGCCCCCTTTCCTCCTGTTCACTAGAAATTTCAACTATCTCTTTCTGATGTCCAGTATGTGTCCTTTTTCTTTCCATTTTCTCTAAAACTTCAATGGACTTAAGTTAATCTGTTGGTTTTAACTCTCCAGAGAGTAAAATTCAAACAAGTCAATTACTATGGCATGCCAATGACAAGACTGGTCAAGATAGAAGGGAACAGGATAGTAATATTTGGTTCATGCCTTTCTAAAGAATATCAGTGATGTATGCCACAAGTCAATTCATTTAAGTAGATTGTCTAGCATTCACTGCCATATAGAAGGACAGACATTATGTAACAGTCCAGTACTATTTGTTTCTAACAAAATTTTCCTACTTTTTAACACTTTGCTTTTTTTTTTTTTTTTTTTCCTTTTAATCATTTCACCCAAGTAAGGCAATAAAGCCACTAAGATACAAGGGGGTTATTGAGTGTTAGATAATGAGAAAATAAACAATACAAAGATAGAACAATAAAAGAACAAGAATTAATACAGTAACTAACGACTGACATTGCATTTAAATTTTTGAAGATCAAAGTTGATTGGGAAACAAGCTGGAAGAGATTTCCACAAGTGAGAAGTGTGAGAGAATAAACTGTTAGCATATAACTTATGGTTATATCTTGCCATTAACTTTTGGAAGGCCTCTTTCACTATCCCAATGTGCTATTGTGGCATGCCAGTGACTAGACAGGTCAAAATGTAATGAGATAGTAAAACTTAGGCTCATGCCTTTCCAAGGTATATTAGTGATGTGTTTAATTCCACACTGAACTTTAATTTATATCACTGAATCTGTCATTTCCTAAATTATGTGACCTTCTAAATCCAGAATTTCAAAATTTAAACTCCCAAGAGAGGGAAATTCAAACAGGGCAAGAATGTCCTCTACAACACACACACACACATATATACTCACTGGTCACAAACTCTTATCCATACAACTGAATATGTTAGCTCTATCACTGATATTGATCACTTTCCACTAAGTACTACACACAAAAACACATTTTTTTATATATATATATATATATATATATATATATATATGAGTTAGTAAATTTTATCTATAATCTAACATTATTTTTTTATTACTGGAGACATCAGATATTTGATTGTAAGCATTCTGTGGCTGAGTGGGCTAAAGCATGCTGGACTTCAGTGACTTCCTTTGCAGAAACTGATTTGAACACTGCCACTAGGCATATTTCCTTGACACTCTCAAATGCACAGGCTGGTAGACATTTACCCCATTTTTTTTTTTTTTTAAAAAAGGTCTATAGAAACATCTGTATTTATTAAATATAGCATTTAAAGTAATAAATATTTTGGTATATTGTGATTTCTGATAACCAGTATTCCTGACCTCCTCCTCCTCTGCTGATCTGACCCTGATCAATGCCTGTTTGCTCAAGTATTTCTGGGTTTATCTTTAGTTGTTGACTTTAGTGCTGTGCAAGCTATAATGAGTTGTGATAAAGAATTACTATGGATCAAATGAAAACCAGGCATTTCCTCTTGAGGTTGTGATATTGAAAATTGTCTTGGATAATTTTCTTTATTTTGTGGTTCACATAAGAAATTTATTTTTCAGTGACAATGCAAACAAAAATTTTTTTTTTTTTTTTTTTTTTTATCGAGTAAGAAGTACACATTGAACCAGTGACTCTGATTATAGTGTATTGTGGATATTCTTTGTGATATTTTTTACTGGAAACATTGGACATAAAACCAACTGGAGTAAGAGTATGAAGAATATAATAGATTTTTATTTTAGGGTGATAAGTGAGTTCATTGATATTCAGTGTCACAAAATATTCATTTATAAGGCAGATATTGGTAATAGCTCAAAGAAAGTACAGAGGTAGTTGTTCTGAAGTCAAACCATGCTAGGGATAGTAGTAATATTATAAATAGGTCAGTATCAATCTACTATGATTTTTCTTGGTCCTAAGCAGGGCAGAAATATCATTAGCAGAGCTCCTCTTAACTACTTGTCATGCATGGCTGGTTTGTCTGCAGTAGCATTTTTTTTTTTTTGTTCCATCCTCCCTCTTCTAGCTCAGGTGTCAGCTTATATTCTTTTGACCAGACTCAGGGATTCTGGTGGGAACTTTGGTTTCAGCTAACATCAAAGGTTTCTTTTGTGTTATTTATTTAGTTTTATTTTTTTATTTTTTATTTTTTCTGACTGGGCAAAATTATTTTATTTTCTAATGTTCCTTTCTTTTTTCAATTTTTTTTTTTTTTTTTTTTTTAACTTAGTGGTAACTTTAATGATGACTATAATATAACTGAATTTTCTATATATTCTTAATAGAATAAAAAGTGTAAAATCTTACAATGTTTCTTAAGATATTTTTCTTAGAAATTGTGTTTCTGAAATTTTAGTTGCTAGTTCTGTAATCTGGTTCTTCATGTCTTCTCCTAGGCTGCTCCATGGTCGCAGGTCTCTTGGTTGCTCCTGGAACCAGGTTATTATTTTAATGTTTGCTGTTCCCCATTAGACCCATCTTTCACAGAAGTCATTTTGGGTCCCTAGTCCAAATTTGCTGAATGTCATAAAATCTTAGATTATTTAGGATCTCCTTTCTTACAAACTGTAAACCTGAAGATAATTGTGAAATAGACTGAAATTTTCTGATTACAAAAAAGTTGAACTTTCCAAACAAAGATTGATAGGTTCATGACTTTCTCACATATTTATTGATTTGTTTGTTATGGGTTATCAACCATTTGCAGGTTATTTAAACCCCTAGAATATTTTTAGCTTGTATTTTATTTTATTTTATTTATATATTTATTTTATTTTATTTTTTTTTTTTTTTTTTAAATAATAATGTTTTAGTAATGTCTTACTAATTAAGCCATAGCTGGGGGAGAAGTGGGTTCATACCTTTCCCAAGGGTATTTGTGCATAAGTGAATAAAATGGACCCAATAGGAATTGGAACTCAACTTACTGATTAACAATTCTGACGCATTATCCATTACACCACCTACGCATCAAAGCTTACAGCACCTGGTGTTCCCAAATGGTCATCCATCTAGGTATTGACCAGGCTTGATGTTGCTTAACTTTGGTGATTGTATGGGAACTGGTCTTTCAATGTATGTAGCCATAAGCCATGACTCTTCTCAGTTATGGTGATAGTAATCTTTGCTGTTTCCTAATAAGGAAACATTTTGAATTCATCAACCAAGCAGCAAGTACTGCTTTTGGTTGACATTTATAAAATTTTTCTCTTAAAAGGCATTTTTCAGGGAAACCAATTGTTCAAGTCTGGTAGCTGTTATCACTCTTTCCAGAATTGACGCAGGGGAGTTCCTTCCTAACCTTTTAATTGAATTAATGTGGAATGTTACCATCTTGATAATGTCATTATTTTCTCTTTAAGTTACATGCGCTAGCAATTTTCATTGTTGTCATTGTTGAAAGTCTTCAAGTGATGTGGTTTCTGTTATTTGTTAATGTTCTTTTGTTTGCGATTCTGTAGCATCTGTTCACAAGGTTTGAAGTGTGATCTTCAACAAGTGATGTCACGACTGCTACTCCCATAAATCTCATTCTCCTCTTTTGAGTCACACACACATACACACTTATTTATTTTTTTTTATTTTTAAATTTTTTAAAATTTTTATTTTTTTATCAATTCTCCCTAAGGAAGGCAATAACATCCCTGATGGATGCCAGAGGCTACTGGAAGAGAAAGAAGACTTTAGAAGGAACAGGAAACTCAATGCTATGTAGAAAAAAGGATAAATATCTACAAGCTTCACTCACTCAAAACAATTTTCATTCATTGATCTGAGAAAGTATTTATTCAACCCAAATTAAAACAATAGGCTTAACCAGAAACCCAAGTACTTATCACTTTTGTCTTGAGAGAGTTTCCCTTGAAACTGTTCATTGAACTCCTGTTTGGGTTTGCAGTTGATTCAACTTGAAGACCCCAATGACTCAGCATGTCTAATGTCTGTAGTACCATGCAAAATTTTCCATGTTTAGAAAATCATAAACAATTATTGAAACCTTAAATATGGACAGGTTACTTTTTGTGGGAATATAATTCAACTGATTTTTTTTTTATTATTATGAAAGTACTGGTTGATCTTTTTCTTTTTGAAAAAAAAAAAAAAACCAACAAAAAACAAGGAAATTTTCATCTAATAAATTTTACGTTTTAACAATGTTTTGTTTGAACAAGAATTTCTTTTTAAGTTTTGAGCACAAATAAAGTGTTTTGGGATTTGCATATTTCCTAAGAACCATATATATATATAGTGTATATTTTTTCTACATGCCTAAGATATTGTGTGTTTGTGTACACTTGAATACATATGCATGTATAATAAATACTAATTGAATAAATCATTGCTTGTTAGTTGGAGAAAAGTCTCTTATAAGGAAGCAATAAAAACTAATTTGGTTATTTCTATCATCAGAAGAAATACATTCCCTTGAGTGTGGCTGCTTTTGTTCCTTTAAGACATCACTCAATTACTAATGTAATTTCAGACTTTTAGAAGATCCTCTGCTTAAACACTGTGAATGTTTTATCCTCCTGTTGGGCTTAAGTTGAACCAAAATATCTACAGTTCATTTTAACACAAATTTGCATCACCAGGTCAGTTTTGGTTCCTTTAGTATGTGTGTGCGGGGGGGGCTCTATTTTGTTTTGCTTTTGAATCTTCATCAGTTTTTGAAATGGCTTCTCTATCTCTCATTGTGCAAATGTGCAGCATATGTATAATTGTTTGCTTCAAGAAATGTTCCCTTTAAATTTACCATGTCCTTAGTGGGACCAAAGAGCCTGTAAACAAGTGAAATGTACAGAAAACATTTTTTGCAATGCCTGTTTGTAGGAGAGACTTTGTAAATCACAGATACAATAATAGTAATGCTTTGAACAATACTGTCAGATGCCACGAATTTCCATATATATATATATATATATATATATATATACACACACTGCATGCCAAATTATTATCAAGATAACTATCTTTCTAATATTTCAAAAACCGTCCAATCAATTCACACAGAATTTTCACACAATGTTGGCAACACTGACCTGCGCAATCACTGAAATTTTCGTACTGATCTGCCCAATGTAAACAAACTGTCGCCATATTTGTTATCAGTGCGGTGATTTGAGCATGACAAATTATTAGAAAAGTATAAGAATTTAGTGAAAAGATGGGCCGTAAAAGCAGTTTAAGTGATGCTAAAAAGAAAACTATTACTTCAGAACTCTCAAAAGGTAAATCTACCCTAGAAATTTCTAAAATGATAGGGAGGTGTCATCAAACAGTGAAAAAGTTCACCGCTGACCCTACACAAGTACACAAAAGTGCAGATAAAGGCAAGCCGAGGGTTATGTCATGTGGTCTCATGTCACGACTTAAACGAGAGGCCACAAAGAACCCTGGACTTACCAGTCAAGAGCTTTTCAGTCGCATTGGGAATCCTACTGTGTCTAAAAGTACTTGGTGTCGGTATCTGAGGGAAATAGCAACAACAGTCAAACCTGTATTGAAGCCTCCGTTGACGAAAAATCACATTCAAAATCGATTGAAATGGGCCGAGGACAATATGAAGATTGACTTCTCTAAAGTTTTGTTCACAGACAAAACTCGAAGAACGCTTGATGGGCCAGATAGATGGTACAAAGCCTTGGTAATGAATGAACAGAATAACCATCATCGTTTGAGATGCCAACAAGGCGGTGGAGGCATAATGATCTGGAGTGGTATTATTGGAAAAACATTAGTGGGCCCATGGGTAGTACCAGATGGCATCAAAATGACTGCTGATGCATACATAGCGTTTATGAAGGAGCATCCTGCATCTTGAACCATGGTTTAAAAGGCAAAGATTTTCCTTCAGAAGGGCCATTGTTTTTATGCAAGATAACGCTCCCTCACATGCTGCTCACAAGACTACTGAATATTTGAAACAGTTAGGCTTCGATGGACCTCGAAAAATGAAGTGGCCAGCAAATTCTCTGGATTTGAACCCAATCGAAAACCTTTAATATTTGTTTGATTATCTTATTTATTAACTTCTTTTGATCATAAACATTCATGTGCAACATTAATAAACGTTTTGTTTGCTCAATTCTGGGAATTTTACTAAACCTTTCTAATAATTTGGCACGCTCAAATCACCGCACTGATAACAAATAGTTTGTTTACATCGCACAGATCAGTATGAAAATTTCAGTGATTGCGCAGGTCAGTGTTGCCAATGTTGTGAAAATTTTGTGTGAATTGATTTGACGGTTTTTGAAATCTTAGAAAAAAAGTTATCTTGATAATAATTTGGCACGCAGTGTATATTTCCTTTACCTGTCATGTGATCTAATTATTTCAAGATGAGGTTGTCTGTGCTTGCTCTCTGGCAATATGTATTCAAATCCAAGTGTCAGCAGTGAAACTTTATTCCTATATGGCATTTTTTACTTTTCAGTGTGAGATATATATAATATAAACTGGAAACAACAGTCAACAGTTTTATGGATGAGGATCACGTCACTCTATGGATTAACAGTATTTTAATGCATACATTATACACTACTAGCGATGGATGTCGCCAATAATACCATTAATATTACTGATTGATTCTATGTGATTATTTCTTTGTGTATATATATATATATATATATATATATATATATATATATATATATATATATTTATTTATTTTTTTTTTTTTTTATTACAAGAGTACTTTTTCCTTGTTTGTCATACATAATACATGGCTAGACAATCCTGTCCACTTTTTTGATTCATAATTGGAAGCATTCCTGTAGTGGACTGGTTTCCAACCAAGGCTAGACAACCCAATTTATTCTGCTACTTAATCCATAGCTGGAGGAAGAAGAGATGGAATTTTTTTTTTCTCCAAGGGTATTTGCATATAAGTGAATGTAGCTAACTAGACCAGAATTCAAAATCTGTTCTCCAATCTCTCTTTCCAAGTCATTATTACCCACATATCCAAACATATAGTGTTTCCCATCTAGGTACTGACTCAGCTCAACATGGCTTGGCTTTTATGATAAGATGAGAACTGGTGTTTTGTGATCTGGCCTTAACCAGATACAAAAATTACTTAAAATAAAAAGCATTTTAGTGTTTTACTTTTTCTTTATTATTGGCTTGGAACAAATTTTTATTTTTCCTTCAATAGGTGGCATTTCAACACCTTATTTTGTTTCAAACATGACTTAAATTTATGAGAGATATGCATATTCAAAACAGCGACATTTCAACCCATCTTTTTACATTATTCATGTGTGGACTGGATTATTAAATGTTTTTACATTAAAAGTAAAAATGGAGATAAATGAAAAATTTGTCATTTGATATTTTTTTTTTTTTTTTTTTTCCGTTTTTTTTTAATACAAACAGCAAAAATGACAAGTGACTTTTCTGGAAATGATGCTTTAGCTTAAAGTACTATTCATAAGCGAGTTGCTCTGTTCAGAAATGAAAATTTTGGTCTGGAAGACCAAGAATGTTCTGGCAAGCCTGTAGTTATTGATGATCAAATCAAAATGTGGATTAAAATAATCCAGTTCACGTGATGCCAAGACATTGCAGAGGTACTCTACACCTCCTGAGTGTTATAAGGCATTTTAAAATGCTTGGATGCATGAATTACTACCATGTTTGTGTGCCTCACAATTTAACAAACTTAATGGACAATGCTTTCCAACTATGATTTTTCAGGTCAGAATAAAAACAATTCATCTTTGACAAGAACAGTCACAAGTGATGAGAAATGGATTACTTATAATAATGAGGAGCAAAAAGGACCTGGGGAAAACAAAATTACCCACAATGACTTACAAAGCTTGTCTGTATCTCAGTTAAAAATTAAGTTAGAAAATACAAGAGTAGGACTAATACTAGACGGTGCATTTCAGAAATGTGTTCTAAGATACCACCAACTTTCTGAAAGAATTCTGGTAGTGTGGCTGAAAGGGAAGCCATTCAAAGGGCCTATTATAGTAGTTTATGCACCGACAGCACAAAGCAAGGAGGAGAACATAGAATCTTTCTACTCCATGAATAACAGTGCCAAGAGTCTATGCAAATCACAGGA